GGGGGGGAAGAAAGGTTTCTTCCTCCAAGTCTCCTGGTGGTGCCTCCACTTTGCTTGGGGAAGCCCTCTCTACCTCCTCACAGACAGCTGTGCTCCCACGTCTGTGGGGATGAAAGGCATCAGTAATGTTCCGATGTCGCATGTAAACCAAGACAAGGAAGGGACCCGGTGGGTTACTCAGGCTTCTCCCCAAGTGTGTCAGAACTGTCTTTTCATGCTGCCCTTGGCCTCCCTGGGTAAGCACTGCCCAGACCTTTTAGCCTCCACAGCCTGCTGCAGGCCCCAGTGGGGTCCAAGGCCCTCTTCCTGACTATAGAAGCCCAGGCCTCTGGGGGAAGAGGGGAGGGGGGGTGGACAGGGAGGAGCTTCTACTGAGGGCCAGCACCATCACTCAAAACTCAGTGCCATCGCATCGAGTCCAACTCTTACAGCTGCCCTATAGCACTGGGTAGGATGCCCCGTGCGTTTCTGAGACAGAAACTCTACAGGAGCAGAAAGCCTCGTCTTCCTCCTGAGGAGCAGCTGGTAGTTTTGAACTGCCGACTTTTCGGTTTGCAGCCCCATGTGTAACCACTAGGTACAAAACTTTAGAGGTCGCAGAGGGTCCAACCTCCTTGTCTCCTTCCAACACCGAGCCAGTCCCCTCCTCAGAGGCTACTACCACTGCCAATGTCTGGTGCATCCCTCCAACCCTGGTTCTCTTCTTTCCCTCTTGTGGGAGGAAGAGTTCACCAAACCACCCAGTCTGCTGGCTGTATCCACGGCACACCTGCTCCGGCATAGGCTGCCCCATACCAAGGCTAGACCGCGAGGTGTGTCCCCCTAATACGTGCCCAACTCTGCTCTGAATGGCCTTTGAAAATTAGTCCTCTTATCTATAATGTTTATTGCTGAAAATGTAGGAAAGGCCAATACATATCCCATCTCTGAGCAAACCACTCTTAGCAAAGTTGGTTTACTCCCTGGAAACGTTCCCACGGTTTCACAGTGTCACCCTGCTGTAAGCCCTGGGGATGGCTGTGTGATGTTCCTTGTACTTCAGCCACGTGCCTGGGGCCGTTTCCTGTTGACGCCTCTGCTATTACAAGGTGGCAGTGAACATTCCTGTTCATCTTTTGGGTTATGTCAAAATGAAATCGGTGGATTAAAATATGTGCAGCACACTGAATCATACATGTAAATGTTTGTTATGTATAGTCTTATCACAATTTAAAAATGAATTTTTAATCGTTTTATTAGGGGCTCATACGACTCTTATCACAGTCCATACATACATCAATTGTGTAAAGCACATTTTTTTGTACATTCATTGCCCTCATCATTCTCAAAACATTTGTTCTCCACTTAAGCCCCCGGTATCAGGTCCTCTTTTTTTCCCCTCCCTCCCCGCTTCCCCCTCCCTCATGAGTCCTTGATCATTTATAAATTATTATTTTGTCATATCTTGCCCTGTCCGACATCTCCCTTCACCCACTTTTCTG